AGGGGGGGGGTTGGGGGATTTGGATAGGGATGAGATTGATGACAGATAGCTAGATTGACAGACAGAGAGACAGAGAGACAAATGTTCTATTCCTCCCAACCCGGGTTGGCCCTGACAAGCAGGGTCGAAATGTCGCTTCAAAATTAATCTAAATAGTGTCGAAGGGCGCGTAAAAACACCCGAATTACATAAACATGATTGCACAGATGTTTCTGATAAACATTGTATCGATGGGCAAACGGAAAAAGCCAAACAAGAGATCCAACCAGCAATATGAGAAAAAAATAATACAATACAGATTATGTCTTAAAGACCTGGATAGATGGAGCCACGGATCTGAAACACTAACAACTCATGGCATCCCCCTGACCCAAGCTCTCCGGCTCGTGGCAGAGAGACGTCTCGTTCTTCCCGCGACACCCCAAAGGTTATAAGCGGCGGAGAAAAGTAAAGTAAAGTAAAGAACGCTTAAATTTGACCTAGATCTACCTCTGCAGGACTTGCAGTTCTGCATGATGACGTTGTACATGTCCTTCATCATCTGGGTCATCTGAGTCACAGTCCGGTCGAAGGGGTCACGCTTGGCCAGGCAGCATGTTCCTGGGGTTGTGCAACCCTCTGGGATCAAACGTGAAGAAATAAATAACTGAACGAATAAATAAAGGGGTAAAGGAATAAAGGAATAAATAAACGAATAGTCGAATAAACGAATAGAGGTATACATGGCATGAATGAATGAATGAATGAATGAATGAATGAATGAATGAATGAAAGAAACACTCTTTGACGTCATCGGTATCGGTGTAAAACTATGTAAACAGAAACATAGGAAAAAAAACAACTATTGGTTATATGTGAAGAATCGTGGTGGAATCAGGCTCTCGTCAAAATAATCAAAGTGAAGAAACTTGCATTTTTCTGTAGGTTTGTGAATTTTTATTAAAATGTGTTTTTTGGCTCAACACCTTTCATGTCCATTATAGAACTCATTTCTGTGTGGATTTTTCTGAAAAATGTTGATTAAAGGCACAAAAAAATGTAAATTTTCAGTTACCACGGACTCATAAGCTAAGGAAATAACTACTCTTTGGCGGCCATTTTCTCACTAATTTTACCTCTGAAAATAAGTGACCTCCATCTCCTTCATTCGCAAATATCTCGACTAGTATTCCAGATAAATGGAAATTTTTTTTCATCTTAATAAAGACAAGTGAACAAGCTTTAAGATGATACCAATAACTCTACATGCCCAAAAATTGACGAGAGCCTGATTTCCCCCACGCTGCCTCACATATCTACAGTACTTTGAGGAAGCCCACCCGACATGTAATGATGTTATTGATTTATAAGTTTAATGTCCTCTCTCGAGAATAGGTTGTATATCGTTTGGCAAAAGAGAAGCACGTTCACACAACAAAGGTCATTTTAGTGCTATGATTAAGTGAGACAATAAATAGATAGAAACAACCAAAAAAGAAGGTTGGGGGGGGGGGGGACACTACAAGAACACACAAAAA